GTAATTATTATATAATATATATTATATAATTATTATATATATTATAATTATATTATAATAATTATATATATATATAATTATTAATTATATTATATTATATATATTATAATTATATTATAATAATTATATTATATTATATATATAATAATTATATAATAATATATGTATATGTATATAATAGTTACATTCACAGCTATGTTAATTAGCACTTCTTTATATTATTATTACAGTATGTTCACCAGTTAGCTGTTGCAATCTCTTCGAAACGTTCGAAAGTCGCTATAATTATACTGCATAAAGTTTGATTTTCTTCGTATTTTCTTTAAACACAACACTCTTATAAAACATATATTTCAATGAACAATATCAAAGTTTCTTAAAGTTTCTTAACCAGTTAGCTGTGCTTTGACGAGTATACTCGTCACGAAGAAATGCCAACACTCGGTATTACACCGAGTATACTTCTAAAAAGAATACAGCTAAACGATTAAAAAACACTTTGCTCGGATAGCCAAATCATGCATCAAACGCACAAATAATGAAAAGAATGATCCTATGTTGATTTTATCTTGACTCATGCTACCTACATTTTGCGTCTCGTGGAATCGTCGCTACGTTCCCATTCGTGGAAGCATTAAAATGAAATCGTCACCAAATCTTCTTGAATGTCCTGCGATAGAAGAAAAACCGTCGTGGAATTCTTTCTCGTAGAAGAAATCGAAGATCCTTCGAGCGCGGCCGCCTGGTTGGTCGTTGATCCGTAATCGAAGGCCAATTATTATCGCGCTTAGAAGCGCGCGATCCGGCTTCGTTTTCATTCGCTCGGCTCTGATTTGCCGAATCCGGCGCCGCGATACTTCGTCTTCCGGAATCAGTGGCAATCAATGATCGGGGTCCCGTTCTCGATTCTCGCGACGATACAATTAAGAGGAGGTCGGCGCGCGACTGTCTGACCATCGACCGACCGATTCCACTGAACTCGGACGGGCGCAGCCTGATTCAATCCTTTCGCCAGTGAAGATCCGTGATCCGCTTTTTGGGTTCGTTGATCGATCTTCGCTCGGGTTTTCTGTCGATCTTCCCGCGAATTCCGAACTGAATTCAAATATTCGCGATACCCAAAAATGTTGCATCGGAACCATTTAAACATAAACAATTCTTCATTCGTCTCTGTAAACGAATACTGAAATATTGTGGTTATATATTATATGATATGATTATATATAATATTATATAGAATATTGATGTAATAATAATACATTGATATATATTAATGAATAATATATTATATATAATATTAATATAATAATAATACATTGATATATATTAATAAATAATATATTATATATAATATTAGTATAATAATAATAATAATCCATTGATATATATTAATGAATAATATATTATATATAATAATAATATATATGTGACATATCTTACATATTACATATTATTATTAGATATTACAACAATATCCGAACAATGTTTCTTATGCCGAAAAATATAAAGCGATTGTTTCAGGATCGAAGATAAAGATCACTTTCATTGTTTACGCCTTATTCAGACTTCTCGCCACTTTGATCACAAAATATGCCTCGATAAGGCATCGATTCGATCATTTCCTACGAAACAGTCTCTCCAGTCTCAACAACGTTCAAATAAAAACTATGCAACCGGTGACTTTAACCGGCTCGTTTCAGCGTTAATTCGTCTCGCCTTTCATCTCGTCGCCAGTTTGTTCACGGCGAACGCGAATCGGCGCGCATGCTCCTGCGAGACGAGCACTTCTCGCAAGCGTGATTCGTCGAAGGCTGCAGAAATCGCTGCACCTGTTGCTGCGCTAACAATCGTCGTGGCGACCGCGAAAGGAGAAACGCATCGGTCGGGTCGCGGCGATCGGTCGCGCGTGTTGCGTCGTCGGATCGACCGGTCACGCGGTCCGTGCACGCTCATTTTCGAGAGTACTATCGATCTAGCAGCCGCGGGCCGTGCTCCTATCAATTATTCCCGCCTCGATCTTAATAATTCAGAGCGGCTCGGCCGAGGCGAAAGCGGACGGCTCGGCAATCCGAGGCTCGAGCAGCTCGCTCCCGATTCGTGTTCCTCGACCGTTTAACAAATCTTCTGAGAACGTGGCTGTGTTCGCGCAACCATCAGCCCCCTGCTCCTTCCGCCCCCTCAGCCACGTGATTCCCCCTCTGTTGCTCCGTTCGTACGCGGCTGCAACTTTCTTGCACCCGAGCTGCACCCCGCGCCCCGTCGCCCGGGTGTTTCAACGGACGAAAATTCTATCGCGACTGCAACCGTCGTCTTCCAGGGCCTCGTAGACCTCTTACGAACGACCGCCGCAACTGCAACAACTGTTCTTTCTTTCCTTGGTTCTGGAACTTTCCAACGAGCTCTGCTATAATTGGTTCGAGTTTCAGAATTTTTCCAGCTACCCGTTTCAGATTCTGTCGAACGTCTTCGCAGACGTTCGAACGAATTTTTCCACGGTTTACAGGAGCTCGTTTCGCTGCTCGAACGTCGCAGGAAATCGGAAATAGCCGGAGAAGGGGTTCCGTCGCGAGAAAAGAACGCAGGAATAGAACGCGAACACGTGCCTCTCGAGGACTGATACACTCCGATTCGACTAATCACACGTGTTTCTTCTCTACGACGCGTTCTCCTTCTCATTTTCCATGTCGGAATCGGCGACGAACGCTCGTCGACTGGAATTGCCACACCGCGGGAATTACAAGACGCGGGACTTCGGGCTCCCTGCAATTTGCACGGCGTCTCTGAAAATTACTAGCACCGTGACCCTTTCGTCCTGTTCCATCTTCTAGACGCAGTCGTTTTCATCGCCACGTGTCCGTCGGAGTCCGTAGAATTTCCCGTTTGTTTTTATTGATTCGCCGAAACCGTGATTTTTTGAGCGCCAAAAATGTGTTCCCGGGACACTGGACCACGTGTCGAAGGTTTCTCGGTGTAACGTTCGAAGATCGTGGCGTTGTCTTTCTGTTGACGATCTGATTATGCGATTTAATCTGTCTACTTATCGGCTACCTCTGAGCTCGCGCGATGTGATTATGCATTTGCCATACTTTGACGAGTTTGGCACGTGATGGGGATTTCTCGGAAGAGTCTCTTAAGTGTGAACATTATTCCGTTTTTTTAAAAGTCGAAATAAGATTCTGTTATCTTGAATGCTTGATATTTAAGCATTCGACTAAACGCAGGCATACAATAAATATGAATTGTCTTCTTTCATCTTCAAAATTATTACAATCGAAAAACTTCTAATCATTGCAGCTGCGAAGAAAATGGTGCGGCAAGAGGTTAACCATACGTTAAGTATTAAAAACTAAACTGAATTAACGGGACAAATGGATAATATATATGTATATATGTCTCGCAATCTGAAAGTGGCGGGTTCCTCAGGTCATTAGAAACAACTTTTCCCTTTACAACAATTTTCTCCGAGGCACCGTTAACGAGTTATCAACGAAAAACAGTGACCAATGAGAGGCGAGCTCAGCCGGCGCGAGGGCGACCGAGCCAATAAGCGGAACTGGGCTTCGTGCGCCGGTTGGCTGGGCCGCCTCGCGTCAGCCGTACTCGATTCTTATTGGTCACTGTTTTTCGTTAATAACTCGTTAACGGTGCCTCGGAGAACATTTTTGCAAAGGAAGAAGTTGCTTCAAATGATCCGAGGAACCCGCCATTTTCCAAATTGCGAGACATTTTTGGGACACCTAGTATATATTGTCGACGTTTGGTGAGGTACATCGTCGAATTACCTGCTCGCCCGTTCTTTATCTCGACATTCGTTCTCAAAGGGTTCATCGATCGCAAGATCGAAGTCACTTGGAAGCGTTCGTTAAAATTTTCCGGAGGCTCGCGAGTCCGCGGATCCATCGGAAGGATACGATAATTGAAGGGAGCCCGATAATTCCGGGAAAGAGGCGTCCCAGAAAGGGGGAAAAGCCGAGGGAGCGAGGCAGTAGGTTGTCGAAACGGAGATGTTCGATCGGCCACGGCGGAAGTTCGCCATTAAAAATCGTGCATTATTCGATTATTCTCGTTACACGGCCGGAATGAAAGGGATCGGGGGCTCGTGGTCCGCGTGGCGTTCTCAAAAGAATTTAAAGAGCACTTGAGAGGGTTCCCTGGAACATCCTCGCGAATGCGGCGTCGATCGATCAAGAACATATTCCGCGGCGCGTTCTGCAAATTCAGCAGCAAAGGCTTCCTTTTTATTTTTAGAACGACGAAAACCGCGGAGCCGCGGTGCAACCAAAGAGAAGCCGGTGTCCTTTCTCCCGTACGCACGGAATTCTGCTGCGCCAGCGAGGAGAGGAGAGGCTAAAAAACGAGAGAGAAAGAGAGAGAGAGCGTTCTCCTCTCCGCCTAAACGGCCTGGAAAACTCGTCTGTACAGTCTCGCAAACGTGCCCGACATTCTTAAAGGCGGGTCGCGGTTGAATAGAGAATCAAGGTCCGCTGAATAGGACCCAATTTCCCGGCGATACTCTTCGATGCAACGGCGCAACGGAAGGCGATCCTCGCCGCGAATTATTGCATTACCGGTCCGGGCTGATTGCACTTTCCCGCGAGGACGGGGATCCGCGTTGCGAAAGTCTCCGCGGCTAATGCAGTCAATTAGCGCGTCGCATGCTCGCGACGGCCATTAACGGCCGACACGTTTCCGAGGATCGGCCATTGAATCGGGAAAATTCGAGGATGATCGCCGTTCACGACTGTTCCCTAGACCCAATCGTTACCTGGAACCCTATCGCGCGATCCGGCACCGAGATCTTCTAACCCTTCTAACCCTCGCGCGCGCGACGTTCAGCGATCGTTCGCTGTTCGATGCTGATTTTTACGCGTCGCTCGGCGTGTCCGCGGATTATTGTTATTCAACGCGGCCGACGATGCGATCGCACACCCGAATAAAACCTGCTTCGAGGTTTCTCCGATGGCAACCGGCTAACCCGTTTCTTCTTGCTTGCTTTTCAGGTTGGCAGCGCAAGAGGCGGCACAAAGGGACCCTGGATACGCGAGTCAGTTCAGGAGAAGGCCGAGGTTGGCCGGACTGAGTGGTCTCGGTGACTGGACTAGCTTTGGAGGGGAGGTAAGGGTCGGAGCTTGCAAAAGCTCTGTCTGAGATACTCGTTAATTGCGGCTTCTCGCGGCCCCGTCTCGTCCACGCGGCTCCCCTGAATTACGCGTGACGAGCTCACCCCGAGCTCGCCGCCGAGGGATCAGCTCGCCGAGACGCGGGCCAACTCGCGCTGCTCGACTAAACTCCACACACACACACACAGACTTCACGGAAACACGTTCGCGTTCGTTCAGAAACGCGGGGCGAGCTCCGCTTCGCGGAATCGTCTCGGGATTCGTTTCATTTTTCGAACCGATTCGCGGGCATCGTCAGTCCGACGGCGCGTAACGATTCGTACCCTCGCGATAAATGCGACTTTTTTAGTCGACACGGAAGCATTGGGCAATTTCGACTTCGAATTACCTTCGCAGAGAAGTATCGTTCGATCGAAAGCATGCTTGCCATAGAATATAAACGGGCGAGTAGTGGGGAGAGCGCGCGCGGGATTGGACGCTCGATAACTAGCCGCCGGCCTTAAGATGCCCCGGGGCCCGAAACTCGCGTGAATATCGAGCGGTCGTTGCACCAGGCCACCCCAGAAGCAACTGAAATTTTCAGAAAAAGAGGGCGAGAATATATAAGGGGAGGATATATAAAGTAAAAGTACCTATTATCGCGCGAGTCGCTCAGTTGTGACAATACGATAAGAAATAGAACATACGAAAATGGATGTAAAAATTCTGTCCATATTTTTTAACTAATACTAACTTTTACTCTAATACTAACTGATACTAAACTACTACTAATTTTTAATTTTAATACTAAANATAAAATATAAAATATAAAATATAAAATATAAAATATAAAATATAAAATATAAAATATAAAATATAAAATATAAAATATAAAATATAAAATATAAAATATAAAATATAAAATATAAAATATAAAATATAAAATATAAAATATAAAATATAAAATATAAAATATAAAATATAAAATATAAAATATAAAATATAAAATATAAAATATAAAATATAAAATATAAAATATAAAATATAAAATATAAAATATAAAATATAAAATATAAAATATAAAATATAAAATATAAAATATAAAATATAAAATATAAAATATAAAATATAAAATATAAAATATAAAATATAAAATATAAAATATAAAATATAAAATATAAAATATAAAATATAAAATATAAAATATAAAATATAAAATATAAAATATAAAATATAAAATATAAAATATAAAATATAAAATATAAAATATAAAATATAAAATATAAAATATAAAATATAAAATATAAAATATAAAATATAAAATATAAAATATAAAATATAAAATATAAAATATAAAAAGTATATAAATATTTCGCTGACGAAACGAAAAATATATTCAACAACGAGCACTTTTAATTCTAACAGAATCGACGAGCGTTCCATAATAGGTACTTTGATCTTAGGATCCAGGAGAATCTCCAGAGAACGTTGTTCGCGGGTTGGCCCGGTGTGTGTAGGGAAATAACGTGTGATAAAAAGGTTGAAGGGATGTCCTGAAGAGGAACTGGTGGTCGTGAACAGGTACCTGGTCTGGTGGACATGGCGCCAGGCCGGGATCAGGGCGGAGGGGCGGGTGGCGGTGGGGGAGGCGGCAAGGGCACCACGTCGTTGTTCATCCTTTCGGAGGATAACTGCATCCGGAAGCATACCCGGTTCATAATCGAGTGGCCGCCCTTCGAGTACGCCGTCCTGCTCACCATCATCGCCAATTGCGTGGTCCTCGCCCTCGAGGAGCACCTGCCCAAGCAGGACAAGACCATACTCGCGCAGAAGCTCGAGGCCTCCGAAATCTACTTCCTCGGGATCTTCTGCGTCGAGGCGAGCCTCAAGATCCTCGCCCTTGGCTTCGTCCTCCACCGTGGCTCCTATCTGCGCAACATCTGGAACATCATGGATTTCTTCGTCGTGGTGACCGGGTGAGACCACTATTTTCTAATATTTTTACGCGTCCACCCACGTTTTTGTTTTCGACCCTCTTTCTTTCTCCCTTCTCTGTCTTTATACCGTGCCGATGAAAAACTACCAGGTGCTCGTGCGGCCATTTGTTCTTTTCGATTTGTAAACAACCAGAAATTATTCTTCCAAGTTGGATTAGAAAGGCTTCTCCTTTAAACGTTCTATCGTCAATTATACTGCATCGATGTCTCGAAGGAGTAATTCCAGTAGATGCAATGATTTGAATTTGAGAATGAATATGAGAAAGGAAATCTGACCGGTTAACGCTAAAACTAGGACAAAACGCGACTGACATGCACTGTTTTTTTTAATAATGACGAGGTTACGTTTATTTGTTGCAATCTTTGCTATTGTACAGCGTGTCCAAAAAAATGTCTCGCAATTCGGAAACGGGGAGGTTCTTGAGATCATTTCAAGTAACTTTTTCCTCAGCGAAAATGCAATCCGCGGCTTCGTTTACGAGTTATTAACGAAAAACGCTGACCAATGAGCGGCGAGCTCTCGTGGCGCGAGGCGGTCGAGCCAATCGGCGGAACTGCGCTTCGTCCGCTGGTTAGCTCGACTGCCACGCGCCGCCTCGCGCCGGCCGAGCTCGCCTCTCATTGGTCACCGTTTTTCGCTAATAACTCGTTAACGGCGCCTCGGAGAACATTTCTGTAAAGGAAAAAGTCGCTTCAAATGACCTCAGGAACCTCCCATTTTCGTATTCTTGATTACCGAACTATTAAAAATTTGCTCACGAACGCAATCGTTGAATTGAAAAATCGGGAACAATTAATTTCGAGCTGTCCGACAGTTCCAGCGTGAAACGGTCGCTTTCCGAAGTCCTAGCAACCGCACGAACACCTTGTATATAGGCACACACGTGTACAGGGTGAGTCGTGAAAAGCAGTTCGAATATTTCTCCCGAGCTTGAAGATAAAGGGAATTGTCCGGGGAGAATGAATAATGGATCGGCCACGAACGGACTCTCTCGAACGGTCTCTCTTATTTTCAATTCCAGAGGATAACACTCTGTTGGTCGCGGCTCACCCGGTACATCTCATATCTTGTATACCGATGTGTCTCTCAGTCTCTCCTTCTCGAAAAGTATCTTCCACTCGTTCTCGTTCACTGAGATTCGGTTTCTCAGTCACGCGGTTCGTCATGGTAGAAGGGACCTGCGTTATCGAACCCCTGCAAGCCTCGATTTTTAGCGAAGACACACTCGCTGGCCGAGTCGGCGAGAATCCTCCGTGTTCGCCTCGATCTCGAGAGTCGCAGAACAGACGCGCTACAGTCTCGCCGGGACAACGATCGCCGATCGTGACCGATGTGGGAGAATCTGCAGCCTGTCAGCTGTCTCAAGAAATCACGAAAACTTCCGCGTAGATCATCTGCACGGTTCTCGCTAATTAAAATTGAAACGAGCACTGCGCCGGCAGTTGAAAATTTCGCAGAACTTTCCCCCCGCGATTTCCTGGAACTTTTATCGCAATTCCATGGAACTTTTTCTTCGGCCGCAGTTCCCGCGGAACCTCGCGATTTCGTAGAATTTTGTCGCGATTCCGTCGAGCGTGGAATCGCCGACTGGCAGCGCGTGTGTGTTGAATTTGTGCCGATCGGAGAACACGGACCACAGGCAGCGAGCATCGAAACAGAGGGGACGCCGGTGAAAATTCGTAGAATCCGTTCATCGTGGCTGGGCCCTCTCGTGTGTGGTCACGACTATACGATCTTTCGTTCCCTCCCTCGTTTTCTCCTCCGAACAGACGAACGACCCGCGTTCTTGCTCTCCGCTATATTTTCTCTCTATCTCTCCGCATCACTCCGTTTCTATCACTCTGCCCCCGCTATCACGCCTGTCTGTCTATCTCGTCCGTGAAAGACCGTCTACCAGTGAACGGGACGGGCGCTACCGACCGATAAATCGCGGAGCCCCTAACGATCGACGCACGTTGCCGCTGCGCGAAGCGGTCGTTTGGAGAGGAAAACAGTGGACGAGGAGAATGTTACGGTCAGGTCTGATCGACTCCCTAACGAGTTAACTTCGCGCCCCCGTGCCTAATTGTTTCGGGAGTGAACGAACCCCGCGATCGAGCAATCCGTTGCCCTAACCCCCCCTCACCCACGATACGTCGCGTTCGCCGCGAGGTATCCTGTCCTGGGAGGAAGGCCTGTCCTCCTCCTCGATCGTCGTCGCGAGAACCAGATCGCGGGGAAGAGGATCGACGTAAGATCCAGGATCGTCCGAAAATCCGTGATCGAGAGAGCAGAAATACATTTTGCTTTTAAATCGTTCCGCGATCCGGATTTATTTATTTTTACATTTATATAGAATATTTGTAATATAATTATTATATTATGTATAATTATTATTATATTATATTTATTTTTTATATATATTTATTATATATATTATATATATTTATATATAATATTTATTATATATATATTATATATTATTATATATATATTTTTTTACTATTATGTTATTATTACATTAATTATTACTATTATTATATTATATATAATTTATATTTATATTTATTTAGAAGCCGCGATTGAGTCGATATTTAGTGCGAAAACAATTAAACATTATAATGAACGCGTCAAGCGCCGGGTCAGTGAGCAGCGATCAAAGACGCGCGATTAAGAAAATTATATGTTCTTCCAATAATAAATTTCCGATCATTTGGAGATCGTAGAAGAGTGTACGCGAGTGTTGCTCGTTACCGAAAGAAATGTTCCACGAGTCTCGTTACGCCGAACCGGAATGGGACGACGAAACAGGCTCGGCGCAGAAACGGTTTGTAACAGAGAAGGCGACGGATTAGGAAGGGTTCATCGATCGAGGGGGTCGGAAGGGCGTTTCTCCGAGCGGGCGCTTAAGATTTAAGGAAAAAATAAAAAATAAAAAAAAACCGCGCCGATCGGTGTCAAAGGCCGAGCAGATAGATTCTAGAGTAATCCTTGGATTAGGTCGATGACCGTGTTCGCCGAAACAAACGTGGACGTCGACCTGCGTATGCTACGTTCCTTCAGGGTCCTCAGACCGCTAAAGCTGGTTTCGAAAATTCCAAGTGAGTCAGTCACGCAGTTCCTGCGGAACGGCAGAAAATGCGAACGCAATAAGTAAACAGTAATATACAGAGTGCAGTAACAGAGAACAGTCGAGCAGCAGATTATCTAAACTATACTATCTAAGCCCCCTTATATTAACACCCCCTGGCAGTTGTTTCCCTGGCAGTTTTTTGTGTGCGTTCGACTAGTCTCCTTAGTTTAAAACTGTTCCTTGATTAAGAAACCAAGTCACACTTAGTTCGTCGACCATTTAGTTTCTCTTTTCTCTGTCTGTCTGTCTGTCTTTTTAAACTGTATCTGTCTCTCTTTCTATCTCTATCTCTGTCTGTCTGAAATAACTCTCTCTCTCTCTCTCTCTCTCTCTCTCTCTCTCGCTTTAGTTGACACGTTGGTTTGGGTCGACGTTTTTAGCTCCGAGATACAGAGCATCGAGCTAACTCTTTAATTACATTTTCTCTTTCTCTTTCTTTATTTCTCTCTTTCTCTCTCTCTCTCTAGGCTCTTTCTCTCTCTCTCTCTCTCTCTAGGCTCTTTCTCTCTCTCTCTCTCTCTCTATCTCTCTATCTCTATCTCTATCTCAGTATAATACTTCTGACACATACTTTCATCTATTTATCTCTGCCTCTTAATCGTTATTAATGCTCCGCTTCAGTTCTCTCTGTCCTTTTTAGTTCCTTTTTAGTTCCGTTTTTAGTTCGTTTGATTTTTCTTTTTCTGTTTCTTTTTTTTGTCTGGAGCGATTCGTACGATTATTTATCTTGTGGATTTGGTTTGTCGAGTTTGTCCCTTACGTTGATTTGATTACCACCGTTTACTATACTTAGAGGCTATGGGTGTATTAGATCAGTTGATTGACGCTAGATGATCGTTGACAGTTGATGATCGATATATTACTTGATACATGATATATCTATATTTTATATTATTACATTCTGTGTCTACGTGTTTGCGTAATTCGAGTGTCTATTATACATATATATATACATACATATACATATAATATATATCTATGCGTAATTATATACTCTACATATATATATTATATATATTCTACCGCCTCTATAGAGGACTTGCGTGAACTAGTCGCTAGAAAGTGTTCCATTGCGTTTACTTGTTCTATCTTCTGTCATTTTTGTTCAGTTTTAATGCACACGTTGTTCATTATTTAGAGACTTCCGGAGTCGAGATCAGACACGCATACACAACACACAAGCACATACATACACACACACGCACACACACACACGCTACATCCATCCACACACACGTACACAGCAGTCATTCATTCACACGTCGAATCGTCGAGGCAACCGACGATCTATCATCGGGGAGAAAAGAAAAAGTATACGAACAAAAAACGATATACTTGATTTCGCTTTTCCATACGCGATCTCTTCCGTTTCGTCGATTCGTACATGGAATCAGAACTGAGAAAAAGAAGGCGTTCAAACACGGGAGAACAAATTGGAAACGACTTGAGTAGCATTCTCTCATCTCTCTAACTATTCTCCTTCTCTCTTTCTCTCTTTCTCGCTCTGTCTTTGACTCTATTTCTCTCTCTCTCTCTTTCTTTCTCTCTTTCTTAATATTTCTCTCTTTCTCTCTCTCTCTCTCTCGAGGAAAACGATTTTGTTCACCGCCGTCGATTGTTGTTCGCACGCTGACACGAAACGACCACACAACGACTTACCGGCCTGCGGGTGTCTCTATACTTAGCAGTCTCTATCTTTAGCTACAGTCACTGTTTGATAGAATTGACTAATAAATTGGTAAATAGGTACTAGGTGTTCTAGAGCAGTAACGTATTCGAGCGAGCTCGTGTTTGCTAGAGAGTCGTACCTTTAGACGCCCTCGAGAGACCGTGTCATCGTCCCTCGGAATCGTAGATCTCACCGAGGTATCCTCTCTCTCTCTCTCTCTCTCTCACTCTCTCTCTATTTCTCTCTCCATCTCACTTTCTGTCACTCTGTCTCTCTTTCTCACCAACTTCCCTTTCACTATCGATCCTCGAAGCTTCTATCTTTCTCTCTCTCTCTTTCTCTCTCTTTCTCTCTCTCTGTCCATCTCTCACCTTCGACAGACTATCTCGTGTGACATGTATGCGAGTGTGCGGCCGCGCGGGAGGAAACTCGTGATCACCGGAAGTGATTCGAAATCCTTCGAACCATTTTCCCCTCGGTGGAACCCACGGGTCTCGTTTCTCCGGGGCATTTTCTAATCGTGGGAATCACGTTAATCCTTCGTTGTTTTTTTACCGTTCCGTTCGCGCAGTCCGATCGATCGTTCGCACAGTGGGAAACCATTTCAGCGTGCTCTCGCGATCTGGATAACCGAAAACGAACCGAACCGGGTTCGATGTCTCCCGCACTTATCCCGTCTCGTCACGGTTCTCGCGCGTTCTCAACGTTCCCCGCGGATCTTCCATTTCCCGGACAAGATCGCATCGACAACAGATCTCGGTGTTGCACGTCGAATTAATTTCAATTCGAATCGAACCTCGCCGCCACTGTGCAACCATCATAATCGGGCTCGCTTCGACAGAAATTGGCCGTTGCAGAAAACATCGAAGGCACGAGAACGCTTAAAAACCGTGCTTGGACGAGTCGGCTGAGATATTCAGCTGCGACACATATACGTATATATTGTTGTTCTCATCGTAGATGCGAGAAAAAAGCGCGAAGAAAAAGGACCATATCCGCGTCGACTATTTCGCTCTTGAACGCGTCCCTTTCCCGCGTCGTTAAAATCGAAGACACCTCAGCTGAAGATCTTGGCCAACTCGCGCTCGGACATCGGCCGATTGAATCGACGCTCGACCGATCCAATTAGTCAAATCCAACTAGTCACCGATTCCGTCACCGATTCCGAAGGAGCGATCGGTCGTCCACCCGGACGACAACCGAAGGTCTGAGATGCGAGTGTGAACTTCCTTCCCCCGTGTGTGTCCCGATGCAGACGCTCTTTTAGACGACCGCCCCCCTGACTGATTCCCTCCGAGATCGTTCCGGCCCCTCTCAGCGGCCAGTTCGACGTTCGATCCGGCGACGCGCCGATTCGATGAGCCGATCCGAAGAACGGCCCGCGGTGTCCCCGGGCCCCCATTGTCTTCGGAATCCAGCCGGTGGGCCGGACTTCGGTGGTCGATCGAACGGTCGATCGCGGCGGACGATCGCCCGAATCTGGCCGCGCAGCCAGCAGCGTTTAGCCGCTTAGAGCGAGACCCCTGTCCGGCTGGCATAGTCTGCGAACAACCTGGGAATGTAGAGAAGTACAGCGTTGTTGGAAACCGAGCAGTTGCCTTATCCACCCCTCGCCGATGCTCAGCGACGTAGCCTAGAACCGAAGAAGACGTAGCGGATTTCGATCGTCGTTCTAGCATAGATCCGCAAGTTTTGAACGACGCTGTTCGCAGCGACGATAGCGAAAGAGGAACGAAGACAGCGGTCCAACGGACCAGCTTCGATCCGAATAGAAACTCTGTCTTTACAGCTGCGCGATCGAAGCGTGGAATATCATCTCGTCCGCATTTCCGTGCGAGACCAGCGAAGAAGCACGAATGACGATTCGTGGTTCCGCGAGTTGCCGAAATGATCGACGGTTGATTGGGTGCGCGATTTGACTCGCGATCGACTCGAGACGCGACTTTGTTTCAACGTTATTCCAGGATATTTCACGCTTCGATCGAACGCGCGTCTATCTACAGTAGTTTCTCCTTTAATTTGTGTTCTGATTGCGCACAGAAATGGACTATCTGGGAAGAGCAGATGCGATTATTCGAGCCTTGTGGCTCGTTTTTACAGTCGCCGATTCAGTGAACAGGTATAAAATCGAGACGCGAGGCTCGAACAATCGAATCTTCTCTCCCGAAAATCGTTCATTTTTGTGTTCAATTTGAGCGCGAATTAGGGAGAAATGATCAACCTCGCTGTCTCTCCCCGCCTTCTATAACTTTCTCTCTTTCTCTCTCTGTCCTCTCTCTCTCTCTCTTACTATTACTCTCTCTCTCTCTCTCTCTCTCACTCAGTCTCTCTCTCTATCTCTCACTCTCTCTCTTCCCATCCAGAACTCCTCCGGGTTTAGGCGATAGTACGCTAGTTAACCACATAGTTGTGTAGCTTAAGTACTTAAGTAGCGTGAGTATTAGTGTAATAGAGTAGTAAGTAGTAAAGTGTGGCGGGGTGTGTGTGTTTTGGGGCAGGTTCATCACGGCGTTCTCGCAAGGCATAGACTTGGATATGGATCTGCGCACGTTGCGTGCGATACGCGTGTTGCGACCGCTCAAACTTGTCTCCGGCATACCGAGTGAGTAGCGTTTCAATACAATCGGCCGTCGAATCCAGCCGAAACGATCGGGATATAACGCAATATTACCGATATATATATACATACAATTATTTAATCGATGCCTCGTCTCTTCTCGTTTCTCTTCTTCCGATCACCGCCGCGATTACGCGCGCGCTGACTCGTTCCGTTCGCTCGGCGATGTCGACGAGGATCGCCGAGATCGATGGATGATGAAGGAAGGGAGAGTGGGATGTAAGAAAAAGCTCGGGGATTGACATGGGGGAACGATCGGGAATATATATATATATAAATGTATATAATATATAAATCGGCGGCCGAAAGGCAGGAAAGAGAAGAGACGGCGAAGCCGATGGAAAATGAAAGAGAAAACGAAAGGTTCGGTGCTCGAGGAACGCGCTCGGCGTGAATCGGAGAACCTTCCGGCGGGTCCGGGGATTCGGATACTTCGTGGATCGACTGGATCCGCTGTCTTGTCGCCTCGGAACGCTCGCGTTTCGCGTGTCGATCGCGTTGTTCCGGGCGTCGAAGTTTCGTAGTTATCAGTGGTAGTAAGTTTATTGCAAGTATATATATATTTCTATATCTCTCTATATATACATATATATCTATATTATCTATATATTATTCTACATACATACATATATATCTATACACGTAGATGCCTTGCAACGTTAGAACGATTATGTTGTTTTTATGTAGCACCACCCAAATAGATATACATTTTGAGAGTGCTGTATGCTGTGTCCATTGTAACCGACGAAGTATCCCAATTGTTTGGCCGCCGGATCGTTCGCGATCGTCTTCGACCTGTCAAAAATTCGCGGATCTAAAGTCGCTGAAATTACGCCAATGGATGATACGGTAAAAGCGACGATCACGACGACGACGACGTCGCGTTGGAACGCGGTTGAGAAGCGCGGTGTGCTCGCGAGCGCGATTTCCCCGAGCAGCGACGGCGAGGAAAAACGGTGAACCGGGATAAAGAATCCGGGACGGGATATACTATATACTGTTCCTACGGGGAGAAAATCGATTCGATAGTACGCGCGATAATCGCTCGAAGACGGGCGGTGGTAGGGCCTAATTACTCCTCGGCAACTTTTTGCGAACAGGTCTCCAGGTGGTGCTCAAGTCTATCATCAAGGCGATGGCCCCGCTTCTGCAGATCGGCCTGCTGGTGCTCTTCGCCATCGTGATATTCGCCATCATCGGCCTCGAGTTTTATTCGGGAACCCTGCACAAAACGTGTTACAGCATCAGGGATATCCGTGAGTACACGCGACACCGCGTTCCCCCTTCGCACCCTGGGCGCCCTGCACCTTGCACGGTGCAGCCTGTGAATCGCGATAGTGCACTTCGACCCTTTCGAGATGGCTGTGACGATTCGTCTTGTAACGTAGACTCGAAGCAACACTTTTATAGTTTTAGTGGTATTTTAACACGAACTTGTACAATGAGCTTGTGTTTGTTAAAAAATGTCATGTTCGTATATTTCTGTATATTCTTCTCCTTCGTATATTTCTATTTCTAAATTCTTTTAGAATTTAATTTTCTTGGTCATTTCTTGTTCTGACATTTCGCAAAATTCAACTGATTCGGTGCAATTTGTCAAAAGTTGTTCGCTTTTGAAAGGTGTCCACATACGTGTATTTGATTACAAAGAAAATTGTATAAGTTTTGAAAGTCCCCTTGCGTACCATCAACTTGTAATAGTTGCTCAATAGTTTACTTGCTCAATTTGTAATAGTAACTATTACACTATTACAAATTGAGCTATTGAATACTGCCTAATATAACTGTGGCTTTAATTTAAAGAACGAATAAGACACTGGTCTTTTTGCATGCAAGAAGAAGAAGAAGAAGAAATATTATATTACTGAACGCGTAAATATCGATGACGAGAGAATAGAATCTTATTCCGATTTAAAAGAACGAAATATAATATAATATAATATAATATAATATAATATAATATAATATAATATAATATAATATAATATAATATAATATAATATAATCTCCACAATTAACAGATTAACGCTAAAAATCTCTGTCGCGAGTCGCGCGTCGCACACGTCGCAGTCCAACGACGGATCGAATAGTCTCGAAAGGGTTAATTTTCGCGGTTTCTTTCCGTGGCGACGCAACAAGTTTCAGATTCGAATGGCTGCAAAGTGAATTAGCACCGCGCGATTTACGGTTCGCACCTGCAAATTAGAAGCTCGTTTGCGCGAGAATCGTTGTCCGGGGGGGGGGGGGGGCAAACGTGTCGAAGCGTTCGCGACGAATTTTCGGCGAACGGGCACTGACGAGGGTTCTGTTTGTAGATTTTATCGTGAAGGAGGGCGAACAGGCGAGCCCGTGTAACACGGACAACAAATCCGAGGCGCCGTTCGGGGCCCACGTGTGCGACGCAAACGTCTCGACGTGCATGGATCACTGGGAGGGACCAAACTTCGGCATCACCAGCTTCGACAACATCGGATTCGCCATGCTCACTGTCTTCCAGTGCATCACTATGGAGGGCTGGACTGCCATATTGTACTGGGTAAAGCAAGAGATATGTCCTTCAGTGTTAAATGAACGGATGATCTTTCACTCTTTCACTCTTTCTCTCTCTCTATCCCTTTCTTTCTCTCTCTTTTCCTCTTTCTCTCTGTTCCTCTTTCTCTCTTTCTCTGTGTCTTTCTTTATGTTTCATTCGCTGTTTCGTACGTTCGATTCGAAGAGTCGTCGGCCCGACAACAACATTAATCTTTCTCTCACTTTCTCTCTTTCTCAATGTCGTACCCTGTCCGATCTTGCCTGTGCCATTTTCACTCTGCCCCCCCCCCGCTCTCCGCATACTCTCGATCTAAATGTGTGAACACTGACCGTTTCTGTCGACCATTCGTACCATTTTCTGTGTCGTGTTCTATTCTCTCTCTCTCTCTCTCTCTCGCTCTTTCTTTCTTTATCTCCCTATCTATCTATCTATTTGTCTCTCTCTTTCTTTATCTCCCTATCTATCTGTCTATCTGTCTCCCTATCTATCTATCTATCTATCTATCTATCCGTTTCTCTCTTTCTTGATCTCTCTATCTATCTATATATCTATCTGTCTCTCCCTTCCTTTATCTCCCTATCTATCTATCTATCTATCTATCCGTTTCTCTCTTTCTTGATCTCTCTATCTATCTATATATCTATCTGTCTCTCCCTTTCTTTATCTCCCTATCTATCTATCTATCTATCTATCTATCTATCTATCTATCCATCTATGTATCTGTCTGTCTGTCTATCTATCTATCTATCTATCTATCTATCTATCTATCTATCTATCTATTTATCTATCTATCTGTCTGTCTATCTCTCTTTACCTATCTTTACCTATCTGTGTTTGGCCGATGACAGTTTGGCTTCCGTCGTTTCTTGTTCGTACACTGGGACGAAGAAGAGAAGCGCTTGCAAGATGTTTAACAGCTCTAACACTGACGTATATGTTCACCTTGCTCAGTATAACACTGTCAGTTTCAGCCCTCTTTGCAAATCTTGGTGTTTACCGTGTATATGACATATACATATATGTATATATGCATCTGTGCCGTCTGCGAACCGCCGTCCATAATTATCCGGCCACCCCCGAGTCACGTTTTTTCTCGGACACTGCACATCCCGTCGTTCACTCGTTTTCTTCTCTCTCTGTCTCCCTTTGTCGCATACGTGTACACGCGAACACAGAATCTACGCAAAGCTCGCGAAAAATCTTTCGTTACAGTAACAAAATCATTCTGTGACCTGCACGCGCGGTGTTCGCATACTCGTGGACGGTCGCGCGCACGCGAACGCAGGGATATGCATATACATAGACCTTTCTGCGCTTCGTTCCCTCGGAATCCGAAGAGAACAACAGCTCCGGCGATGCTCTCGCCGACAGATCGATTCTCTTCCGGTTCCGATCGCGCGCCGATACGATCGCGAATACGTAACGATCGCATCGATGGCGCATCCCAAGGGAAACGGCGGCACGCGACGGAACGAGCCTTTGAACGGCGCGGGAACGGGATCACAGCTCGGAGAAAACGAGCGATCCTCATCGAATCGCGTCTCTCGCCTGCCGCCGTTTCCGGCAAAGAAAAAAAGAAAGCGAAACGATCTAGGGATCCGCGCGTAAATCACGCCGGTGTGACCCGTGACCCCGATCGTCGGCGTCGACGCGTCTAGATACGGGCTTCACGCGGCTCTGGTGAAATTTTGCAGACAAACGACGCTCTTGGCAGCACGTACAACTGGATTTACTTTATACCATTGATCGTCCTTGGCTCATTCTTCATGCTGAACTTAGTTCTCGGTGTTCTGAGCGGGTGAGTATTCTCCATTCAGCCTGTCCGATCCAAATGAAAAAAGTTCGAGACGCGCGATATCCAACCGTTCTCCCACCCCTCGATCCGCCGCATTTTTATTGCCGATGCAGCCCAGCCAGCGGTCCTTGTTTTCAATTTGTATAGCACTCGGTAGTTACCGGATTCGATAGAAGATGTACGATACGATAAATTGATCCGATACGTTCGGATATTCTTCTCTTGGCATTCGACTGCCATCGATTCCGAATGTTTTTGTTCGGAACTGTCCGAATCGCGTCTGTGCTGGACAGTTCTGGTAGCAGTATTTGGTGCAATGTGCCGGAATGTTTTATCTGGATTTTTTAGCTGGAATGTTAGGGATCGCGACCAGACTGCAGATGTTACGCGTTTATGATGAAATACGAAATAGATGCGAAACGTAGCAGCGTTGGAGAATTGATTCATTTATGTAGTTTTTTACCGGAAAGATCTATTAGCAGAATTGTGAAATATGAATCGTATTAAATCGAGGTGCAAACTCCTTTGTCCAAGCATACATTGTTAATTGAAAATGATGAAAACTCTGAATAAATCCAGTTTATAGTCGTTCTCATAAAGAGACGCGCTTTAGTCATTTTTTAGAACTCGGTTGGTTCGGTATTAAAAACTTCACCTGCAAGTTTGAACTATCAAAATCGATTCAGCCCAATTTTTAAAAATATTTTGTCATAATTATATTATTAACACAGTTTATCCTATTGATATTAATAATAAAGCATATCATCAGCGATACTTAGCTGACAGAATTATATAAAACTTAATTTCTAAAAATTAATTCTTGCACTAAACCATTATAATTTCTTAATTACATCAAGATTCGCAAGACGTAAGAATGCTGAAAAAGATAACCGATGCAACTGTGCTTTACAACTCAAATTTAATCGAACGAAATAATTCAATTTCGTGAAATATTTGCGATTTTGGCGCGACCGAGAAAGTGTCGAAAGAACAAATGAACCGCGTAATCAGCTGCCGCGTCTCGCGATTACCGCGGACAATTGTAATGTTCCAAAAATATCTGCAGTCTCGTGCTTTTAATGCGGTCGAGAAGAAACGGAACGAATGCACGTTGCAACCCGGTATTTTCGGGACCGTTTCGAGCGCGGATTTCAGCTCGTTCCTCGAGAAACGGGATACAAGTAGTTCCTGCTGGCCTGCATCGCGACGTGTTTCCCAGGACCTCCGCCCACGATTTCTCGGGCCACCCCCTACCCCTCCCCCCTTACCCGGCCGATCTGTATTTCTTTCTTTTTCCGTCAGGGAGTTTTCTAACGAACGAACACGCGTCGAGAGGCGGGCGGCTTATCAGAAAACAAAGAGAAAACATCTGTTCACGACTGCGTTCAGTGCCTACTTAAAGTGGATCACTCAAGCAGGTCTCGAAACGATCGATCTTTTCCCTCGAGTTTGTCGCCCCGGTAGCCCGTTGTTTGTCCGCATCCAGAGACGATTCTCCGACCATGCACCGGGTGTCCCGCGAATAAACCGATCCAAGAATTTCATACGAACGTCGCCGACGTCGCGAACTTCTCCTCCGAGTCAACGTTTCGAAACTGTTCAGAATATATTTCTCGCGAAATATACAGGGTGTCCCAAAAATGTCTCGCAATCCGAAAGTAGCGGGTTCCTAGGGTCGTTTGAAGCAACTTTTTCCTTTGCAAAAATTTTCTCCGAGGTACCGTTAACGAGTTATTAACGAAAAACAGTGACCACTGAGAGGCGAGCTCGGCTGGCGCGAGGGCGACCGAGCCAATGAGCGGAACTGGGCTTCGCGCGCCGGTTGGCTGAGCCGCCTCGCGTCAGCCGTACTCGATTCTTATTGGTCACTGTTTTTCGTTGATAACTCGTTAACGGTGCCTCGGAGAACATTTTTGTAAAGGAAGAAGTTGCTTCAAATGATCCGAGGAACTCGCCATTTCCGGATTGCGAGACATTTTTGGGACTCTCTATATTGGCTCGAGCGTGCTTTCATCGGCTTCTTTTATCGCTGGACACCCTGCGCGAACGTACCGCTGCGATCGGCAGTGCTCCTTCGCGAGAAATTGCGATTCGATTCGCAAACGATAGCTGCTTTTCCATTAATTTCTCAAACCGTGCTCGATAAATCCTGCTAGAATACAGAGGAGACGATTCCGCGTGGATCCATGTGAATTGAAAACGCGAGGTAAATTATCTGTTGCAGGATTCTACCTTTCCGAGATCATTCGACTGTGCACAGTGGCCCACGAAAGCGTTCGTACACCTCTTAAAACGAAATAACTATTTTAAAACTGAACTGAATGACTTGAATCGGTTTTTAGATGACAGAGAATATAGTCTTCTAGACGATGACTGAAATACCTTCTTTTTTTTAAATTTTGCTATTGGAATGACAAAGAAATAAAGATCTCTCGTTTTAAACTTTTCTATCCAAACCTATAAAATTTTAAAAATGTCTTCCGTAGATCTCGATAACTTATACGCATGTTGAAAACTTCATCGAAATTATTTAATTAACCCTTTGCACTCGAAGCCAATTTAACCGTGAATCTAAAATAATATTTTTCTGACTTATGGTATTTCTATTTTATACGACGAAGTGCATTTTATGCATATGAAACTGAGTCTTGCGATGACCTTTGATGACAGTTACACTTTTAACTATTTTTTAGATTTAAACTTCGTTAATATAAAAAGTGGTTAATATTAACTAATTTTATTGGTGCCTTAGAGTCATCATTCGAGTGCAAAGGATTAATTATTTGATTTTTTCATTCCAAGCAATAGTAAAATTAAAGAGAAGCTTCTCAGCCATCGTCTAGTAGACCAATCCCTCTGCTACCTAAAAAAAAGTTCAAGTCATTTAGTTCAGCTTTCAAAAAGTAATCGCGTTTTCAAAAGTGCACGAACACTTTCCTGGGCCACTGTACAACGCTGTCACGATTTAAATTCGAATCAAAGCCTATCTCGAAAGTAATTCTATGATTGCTGCGAGTCGATAAACGAAGTGCAACGAAATATACGAACACGCTGCTCCGAAATACAGTAACGTCTCCCTAATTGTCGCCCAAATTGTGCATAAAATTGGACAATTTGGGAAGAGGAGATACGATTATTCGCGCCTTT